GCAGTAGTGATAGTACCAACTGTGATTTTTTTATATCATGTAAATCATTTGTAATATTTGCATAATTCATTGGACTAATATTTTCCAAATGGCCAATATTGGAATCACATATGGGTAAAAGATCTATTCAAAATGAAATATAGACATTAAGTTTAACTTTGTAGAAAAGTTCAGAGATGAGGTTTCAGATTTCACATTGCAAATAATCTTTAAGGAGCTATCACTTGTGGAGTTTCAATGTAACATCAAAGTCTATTCATGATTATTTGAAAAGGCTATTAAAATATATCTCCCTTTTCAAACACTTATCTGTGTGAGGCTGGATATTCTTCCTATACTTCAAACCAGTACAGTGCTCCAGATGGAATGCAGAAGTAGATATGAGAATTCATCTGTCTTCTATTAAGGCAGGCATCAAAGACGTGCAAAAATATAAAATAATGCCAGCCACTCTATTCATTAACTTTATTTATTTTGGAAAATATAGTTATTTTTCATAAAAATTATATTATTTATGTTGACCTGTAGTAGGTTCACTATTGTTATTTTAGAGTTAATCAATTGGCAAATATTTCTCAGTTTTAATTTCTAATGTGGTAAAAACTGATAGATATATCCCACAGAAACAAAAACTCTTTGAGATCTTCATAATTTATGGGCTACAAGATCTGAGACCAAAATGTTTGAGAACTGCTGATTTAAGAACAGTTTGAAAACTTCTTCCTTTGAACACTTCTAGACTCAAACAAAGATGGATAAACCCTGATAAGAGTTTTTTCTAATCCCTTTCCCCTTTCATCTGTGAGACCCCAAGTCCAGCAATTGCTCATATCTTTGATTTATTTCATATAAGTGTACATTCCTGCCATGCATTGCTAAACAAATAATTTAGTCACCTTGATTAGATTTTCAGACTTGCTGGCCTCCATGATGCAGTTTGGCAGAGTCCTGGTAACTAGAAAAGTTGTTGCTTACAAGCTTTTTATAATTTATCACCATTTGGCATTTGATCTCCCTACCCTGCTCTAGATGTCTAAAAGAAAAGCAGTATACTGCAGTACATACCTCTAAAAAATATTTTGTATGGTTCATATTAGATCAAATTCTCTATAAACAGACCCTGAGATGGGGATCTTCTGCAAAATAATTTAATGATTTAATTTAGCGCTCTCAGGATAAGGGAAGCAAGTTAGCTACAGGGAAAGCTAATCAAGGATGTGGACTTCCAGCGATGGGATGAGGGTGAGAGTCCAACTTTGTGGGCTGTGGTTCTGGGTGTCTCATTTTAATCAAATACAAGGTGATATTGAAAAAAAATGTCTCGATGTAAATAGTTGATGGTAGGGGCCTGGCCTTTTTGGCTCAGTGGATAGAGTGTCGGCCTGTGGACCAAAGGGTCCCGGGTTCGATTCTGGACAAGGTCATGTACCTTGGTTGCAGGCTCCTCCCTGGCCCAGGCCCTGGTCAGGACACATGCAGGAGGCAAGCAGTCTATGTGTTTCTTCACATCGATATTTCTCTCTCTCTTTCTCTGTCTCTTCCACTCTCTCTCTCTAAAAAAAAAAGGAAAAATATTCTCAGGTGAGGATTTAAATAAAAAGTTGATGGTAGGGCCAGATACTGGACCTTTGTGTGACTTAAAACAAAGCATCTATTCAAGCTTATGAAATACTGAAAATTGTTCCCTCTGGGTGCACAACTTACAAAAAAATCACTCCTTCCTCTGGCTGTAAGGCCTGTAAGGAAGCACAAGACTTGGTAACTGAAGTACAGACCATGTTTCAACCCTTACACTTTTCACTTGAGACCTTTGCACAGAGCACAACTTGTATGTCAGTATCTAGTGTTCCTGGTTGTAGGAATCTGATCACTGTGACAACTGTTTTTTAAATCTTTGATATGGCCTTTCATATTTGTCAAAAGATATCAGTCCTACAAAATTGCTGAGTGGTGCCATGTCTCAAGACATGCTCAGCCATCTCCATAATCTAGAGTCCAGATTCTAGACATTGATGAGAGATTTCAAGACAAAAAGGCCCCCAAAAGAATGTGTTATGGATACCCTCTCTGTATGCATTCATCATTTTTATCACATGAGAAGTTTTGCATTGGAACTTTTGTATTAGTTGAAGGGGTCCTGCCATTTTAACTGAGGCTTTAGTGCTGCTTGCATATGAGGTCTAATGTAGTATTGCCATGTTAGTCTGTGCACATATTTCTGCCTAAGGATCTTACAATAGTCAAGTCATTAGCATAATATCCATTAGGAATATCTGATTAGAAACTTATCACTGGGAAAAAAACCCAAACAACTGATGATCTTCCGTGACATTGAAATTATTGCAGTGTAATATCTTGATGTTTTAACTTCCAATG